TACCTTTATTTATTCTCCAAAGACTCGATTGATGGGACCGCGAAGGGACAAAACTGCAAAAAAAAATTTTGTTCGCGGACTCATCTGCATAAATCTCCCCCACACAAATGAGGCGTTGGTCCGAGCGCAGGAGCACGCTTGCTGCCTTGTAGTTGTAGAGTTGTAGCTGTTCCTCTATATATAAAAAAAACATCCAACTTAAAAAAAAATATTTATTTTATTTTATATATTTTCGCTGGTCTTCTCTCTTTTAAGGCGGTGACCCGATCCGATGATGTGAGCTGAAGAGGAGGTGAAGTCACCGCGGGCGCTGCCATGAAGGGGGGACCGGTCAACGGCGCCGTGACGGCGGCGAGCCCGCTCGAAGGTGAGTTCAATTTAGTTAGCGGTGTCTGGTCACCGGCGGTGAGCGTTAACTGACACGTGTCGGTGTTTTGGGCAGCGGAGAGGAGGACGATAAACCAGGAGCTATGGCACGCGTGCGCGGGGCCGCTGGTGACGTTACCGCCGGTGGGGAGCCTCGTGGTTTACTTTCCTCAAGGGCACAGCGAGCAGGTTAGCTGACGACGAGGGGTGTTGCTATTTTGCGCCGCGCATCGAATGCTGCTGCTGTTTCGCTTTTGGTTTGCTAACGTGCGCTGGATTGGGATTTGGTGCTCTTTTTTGAGTTTTTTTGGGAACTTTTTTGTGGCTTTGTAATAACTTTAATGATGCTGTAAAGTTTTTGTTTTTTTCCCGATTTTTTGGGGATTTATTTTCTTTTTGACTCGGAAGTGAATAAATGATTTTTTTGTGTTTAATTTGAGTGAAATGCACTTTGGGGGAATTTTGACTTTATTCTATTCAGAGTAAATTTAATGAAATATTGGGTTAGTGATTGTTTGGCTGCTAGTCTCTTTTTTTTTTCCTTCCAAATTTTATTGAGTTTTATTTTCTTATATTAAAGTGCAAGTGAAATAGTTTATCTTTTGTGTTTTTTTAGTGAAATGCATTTTTGAGATACTTGGAATTTATTGTGTTTATCGTATATTTAATGAAAATTTTGGGTTTGTGATTGTTTGGATGCTAGTCTGCTCCTAAATTGCCAGAACTTTATTGGTTTTTTTTTAAATGTTTGATTAGTGATTGCTTTCCTCTCTTCTGTGGATCTGGGATGCCCTAAAATTAAATTGTTTTCTTAACAAAAAAATACCCATTTGATCTTGCTTCTTGATTTTTCCCTTCACTAGTTAGTTATAAGCTTACATTAGAGACAAAAGAACTGTAGGTTTTTCTAATGATTTATTGCATATATGTTCATTCTATTTGACTGGAAAAATCAACTTTTTCGTGGGGTTTAATGATGATGAACCTTTTTTGATGAGATTGGTAAAATTACTCTAACTGGGTTGTTAGCAGTTTGATTGCATTTGGCAACAAATGAGCATCTTTTCTAATTTCAGATTTGAAACCCCTATTTTTTTGGTAATTAGATTGTAACCCCTTTAAATCATTTGTATTGTGGCTTCTCAATTGAGCATACCAACTTGCAGTTTCACATTCTAATTTTAGTTTAGTGGAATGCCATGTGCTCTACCATCTTTCAGCTTCTTCAAACTTTTACATTTAAAATTTAGAATCTGTTTCCTTCATTTGATTCTTTGGGAAATTTTTCTTTTGTTCTTTGCCCTACATAATGTATTTTCCCCCTGGAAATTGGAAATATGCCCATGATTGGTTTGATGGATATTGAATATTCTGATAAAAACAGTTTGTGGTTCTTAGCCACTATGCTGTAGTTCATAACTCAGCTGATTCTTTGGGAAATAATTTCATTATTTCTAGTTTTGTTTGTTTGGAAGTGAAATATGTGGCAAATAAGAAGGGGAAATATAAAAAAATGCTTTTAAGCTTGAAGAATGATTTTTTTTTATATAGCCATTTAAATTATTGATATCTTTAATTTTAACCCTAAATCATTGTGATAACTGATTTGGTCCAATTTGTTTACTTCTCCTAATTTTAGCCCCCATTGTTCCAATTTTCATAGTTAATGTGGAAAAAGACTTTATTAATCGTATTTTAATAACCAAATTAGTTTAATAAAATATAAAAAAATTCCATCTGGGTTCTCCAATTGTTAGGTTCCATCTGGATTCTCCAATTGTTAGGTGGAGATGCAAAATTGATGATGAAAACAAATTGGGATAAATTAGTGATTACAAATGATTTAGGGCTAAAACAAAATAGTTATAATTTTGAGGTATATATCAATAGAAGCTTAAAAACAGCGTCATCCATGGAACTGACTATCTTTGGACGTGTATCCATACATTCAAATTTTCTGCATGGTGATCATATGATGGTAACAGAGCTATAGGGTTGTCAAGTTGTTGCAGGTTGACTCAAAAGTCTTGTGCGGTTTATTGTTTTCAAATTCTCTAATTTGAAGTAAAAGTTTGTTGAGAATATCAAAGTCATGTTTATTGTTTTAAAGTTCTTTGAGTAAGTTTTATTTCCAAATTTCTCATTTAATCTGTAGCTTGCAACTGTCTCATTTTAAAATGCTTCTTTATTAAGAAAAATTTCTATTTCAGGTTGCAGCATCTATGCAAAAGAACGTTGACGCTCAAATTCCAAGCTATCCAAATCTTCCCTCAAAGCTTATTTGCCTTCTTCACAATGTTACTCTTCATGTATTGCATCTCCTTTTTCTTTCTTGTCATCAAATGCAAATATGTGTAAAAGCTTGTTGCAACTGCCCTTTATGTATTGAATAATATTTTGGGATTGTATAGGCTGACGCCGAGACGGATGAAGTTTATGCTCAGATGACACTCCAACCAGTCAATTCAGTAAGTTTATATAATTTTTTCTTGCTATTTGGTCACTTCAATATATGCTTTTTCAGAAATTTCAATCTGTTTCTACTTAGCCACTTTATTAATGGGGAAACAGAGGTAGGAAGTGTGTTATTGCTCTAGAAGGATGTGTTCGATTGTCTATAGTGGACGACGTTTGCTATGGTCTCACAACATCAATTTAATCAAAATTCTGAAATCCTTGTGGAAACCCTGAGTTAGTTTATTCTTTGTTTTGCATTAGTATGATGAGAAGGCATTGCTGGCATCGGATCTTGCACTGAAATCAAATAAACCACAAACAGAATTCTTTTGTAAAACTCTGACTGCAAGTGACACAAGCACACATGGAGGATTTTCCGTTCCTCGCCGCGCTGCAGAAAAGATCTTTCCTCCTCTTGTAAGTATTATAATCTACCAGTAGCATAAATATAATCTCCGGTGCATTATATGAGCTCATTTTAGTAATGTACATTTCTTTTTTTATGGATCCTAGGATTTCTCTATGCAACCACCTGCTCAAGAGCTGCAGGCCAGGGACTTGCACGATAACGTTTGGACCTTCCGCCATATCTACCGAGGTGAGGAAAATAAATTCACAAGTTAGAGGCTAGCAAAGACTGATCAGGAGTAAAGCTTCTTAAGCTTTTGTTGTGGGACTATATTTATAACCATATTACTTATGGGATCTTGCCCCAGATGTAGTGAGATCATCTAAATTACATATAGGCAACTCAAGTTTCACATATGTCTTGTTAGTCAAAACAAATTGTCAAATTAAAAAAATCTTAGCTTGCCCCTTCTCTGAGAGTTAAAGGTTCCTAGTTTGAGTAGAATAATGAGTTGATTCCTAAAGCCATTGAAAGGACAAGAAATGAAAGAGCACATCTTAGATTCAAGTCTATAATTGCTTCTTTCCCTCAGCTCTTTTCTTTATGCTTTAGAAGAAACAAACATCCTTACGTTCCATATTGCTCCTGTCACATGCAGAAAAGCTAATTAGTTGTTCTCACTTGGCTTTTTTATGGTTACTTTAAAGTTTTCTTTTCTCCATTTTCTCAGGGGCATAGTGTACAGCATGTCTATTTTCTTTCTCTTGCAGGTCAACCAAAAAGACACTTACTCACAACGGGTTGGAGCTTATTCGTAAGCGGGAAGAGGCTGTTTGCTGGGGATTCTGTTTTATTTATTAGGTACCTCATAGTATTAAGAGCGTTTATTGGAAAAGATGATTATCTGAATACTACACATTTCATATATTTGTATCATGAATTCATAATGATTCTTTAGGTTTAATCAGCCTCAAAAAACCGAACAAAGTGAACACACTCAATTATTAGTTCTAAATGGTTCACATCTGCTACACTCACTTTCTATTGGTTTAATTATCTTATTCTTATAAGCCTCACATTACCTATTGTTTCAGATTTACTTGTTTGGATAGCTAAGTTTTTGTTCTATCTTCTGCATGATCAGGGATGAAAAGCAACAGCTTCTCTTGGGGATTCGGCGTGCTAACAGGCAACCGACTAACATCTCATCATCAGTTCTTTCTAGTGATAGCATGCATATTGGTATTCTTGCTGCAGCAGCTCATGCGGCTGCAAACAATAGCCCATTCACTGTGTTTTACAATCCAAGGTTAGTGTATAACCATCAATATTTTTGTGCAATTGTTTATAATCAATTGACTGAATCATCAAAATGATATCCGAAATTGACATTGTACATCTGCAGGGCTAGTCCTTCAGAATTTGTGATCCCTTTAGCTAAGTACCAAAAATCAATCTACAGTAACCAAATATCGCTTGGCATGCGGTTCCGAATGATGTTTGAAACTGAAGAATCAGGAACTAGAAGGTAAGTTGAAAGAATTTACATTCCACAGCTAACAAGAACATTGCACCAGTAAAAGACCATTTGTCCTTATTCTGGTTTCTCTTGTATAGTGGCAGTAAATTGATTTTCGGTCTACTATGGCAAATAAAACCATGTTTCTCTTCAAGATTGCCCTTTCATACTGAAAACATTGTATTTCATCTGCAGATACATGGGTACAATCACAGGTATAAGTGATCTAGATCCTGTAAGGTGGAAAAACTCACAATGGCGGAATTTGCAGGTTGGATATGTGACTTATATAATGATTTGTGTATCAAATATTAATTTTTTCTGTTAGAGACAGTTAGAGTTGTCTTTAAACTGTATATTATGATGTTCAACAGGTGGGGTGGGATGAATCTGCAACTGGTGAGAGGCGCAACAGAGTCTCCATATGGGAGATTGAGCCTGTGGCCGCCATTTTTCAGATCAAAGCGTCCAAGACAACCGGGAATGCCAGGTATATGAACCTGAGCAGTTTTCTGGAACTCATGTTTTCGTTTCAAGATGTATCTTCAATTTTCAATAAATCAATCGGTCTCTCCAGTCCACAGAACTGTGCTAAAATTACATCTTCGACTTGGTCATTAAATTTATATGCCATTGTGTTTTTAGTATTGTATTTCTTCTGCTCATGTATATTTATTAGGGAGGGAAATGTGATTAAGTAAAATATATTCTAAAATTAGGATACTGTTTGACACTCCTTGGACAGTTGCAAGTAAATAATGCACATGTACATGTTTAAAATGTTTATTTACTTTCATTTATATGCAAAAGGAATACTTAGAAGTTAATGGCGGTCAAAATATTAGTTGGTGTTAACTATGAGAAATATAGATATTATTTTGATATAAAAAGATAGTGTACTGAGCATCTGTAGATTCAAAATTTTAGCATATATGTATCCTTGTGTTATATTATTAAAAGTTTTAGCTGGATCTTTGGATTTACAAACATGTCTGGTTATGTATATATGCACAGTTATCTTATTTGTATGTATTACAATGTTACGTTGCTGTATCCCTGTTTCCTAACTAGTCAGTATGCATCCATATATTTCATTTGTGCCTATGCTTTTAACTCTAAATATATGTACCTCACATAATTTTAATGAGATAATTAATTGTACAATTTGATGGCCAATGCTGCAGAAGATGAGTCTTCAGAGATGGAAAATCTTTTTAAAAGAGCAATGCCGTGGCTTGGTGAGGAGATATGCATAAAAGACCCCCAGTCCCAAAACACTGTAATGCCTGGCTTGAGTTTAGCACAGTGGATGAATATGCAACAGAACCCTTTGCTTGCAAATGCAGCCATGCAACCCGACTATCTCCGATCCTTATCTGGGCCTGTCGTTCAAAATCTTGGTGCTAATGACATTTCAAGACAGTTGGGCTTACAAGCCCAGTACTTACAGCAGAACAACATTCAATTTAATGCTTCTAGGCTTCCTCAGCAGCAGATACAACAAGTTGATCAGCTTTCCAAAGTGTCAGCACCACTGAACCAGTCACCCAACATTACTAGACCTCAGCAGCAAATGCAAGATGCTAACTTGCAGCAGAGGCAGCAATTCGTTAACCAGACAGCTGCCATGAACCTGCCACAAGCTAATTTTGGTCAGCCCCAGATTTTGGTCCAGAACCAGGCACAGCAGCAGCAGCAGCAGCCACTGATTCAGAACCCCAATGTGCAAAATAACCTCCAAACTAGTCAACAGTTGCTACTTCAGCAACAACAGCAGCAACAACAGCAATCCTTGCAACAACAACAGTTACAACAGCAGCATCAACAACAACAGTTCCAGCAGAATAGAATGGCTGTTCAGATGCCCAACCAAAATAACCAACAGATGCCATTATCCGACCATCAGCTTCACCAGCAATTGCTGCAGAAACTACAACAGCAGCAGCAGTCCTATTTGGCACAATCCACACTGCAGCAATCTCAACTATCTCAAATTCAAGAGCAGCAGAAACCCACGTTAGTGGAAACACCACGTCATCTTTCCAATGCTACTCCACTCTCACAGCAACACACACTTCCTCAGCAATGTGCAAAGTCTGCTCAAATGACTGTTAATTTATCTCAATCCTCCCTGCATCAGTCACAGCAAAAGGCCCAAAATTTGTTGCCACATCAGCAAATTTTGCTTCCTGAGCTGCCAGCAGCAGTCATTCCAGCAACGCCAAACACTCTTCTCTCAACAACTGGAAACACCTTATTGGCAGCTGGAGGGCCTAACTCAGGGGTTACAGACGAGGTTCCATCTTGTTCCACCTCACCTTCTGCTAACAACAACTGTGTAGTTCTCCCACAGCAAGTTTTAAACAGAACCCGACCACGCAACTCAGTCACCCCCGAGAAGACACCTCAGTCAGCGATGACTATTTTAGAAGCTCTGGCTGCAATTCCCAACACATCGAAGGACTTGCCAAAATCCGAATCATGTGTGAAGCCCTCAGTGCCAGTTACTTCGAAGATGCAAAATCAGGGAATTGTAGGCCCGCAAACATATGTGAATAACATTGCACAAATGGATTACTTGGATACATCATCTTCAGCAACTTCTGTCTGCCTATCTCAGACTGATGGATCTTTACAACAAGGTTTTCCTCCCTCTTCTTTCAACCAGCCGTCGATGTTCCGTGATGCACCTCAAGACTGTGACGTGTCTGCTGATCCTAGGAACAATGTCCTGTTTGGGGTCAATATTGATGGCCCGCTGGGGATACCTGATCCCTTGCTGGCAAATAGCATAGATTCGGGGAAGTTTCAGAACAACTTGTCGGGTAACGTGGTTGCTAACTATAGCACCTCAAAAGATGCTCAGCAAGAGTTATCATCATCTATGGTTACTCAGTCATTCGGGGTTGCTGATATGGCGTTCAATTCTATAGATTCAGCCATTACTGACAGCAGCTTTTTGAACAAAAATTCCTGGGCACCTCAACCTCAGTTTCAGCGGATGCGCACTTATACCAAGGTTAGTTATTTCAGATATAGAAATAGTTTTCAAATATTTCTTGTTAGTAATATTTGTTATCCATATAACATAGGTTTGAAGTATTTTAAAAAGATGACTTGTAGTTTTAACTTGTGGTACATAATTTAGGTATAAATAACACATCTTACTTCTGAGGGTGTTAAAAAGAAATACATCATCTATAAAGCATGGTAGATATTAGTAATATTACGACACGTATGCTGGTGTTCTGTATCACAGTTCTAGACAATCATTCAACTAGTAATCCCAAATTATCTATTGTATTTTTAAACTAGAAAACTGTAACTAATAATATTAAATGTTTATTTCTGGTGTATCTTGTTCTGATGGGTTGATAAGTGCGCTGGACTTCTGTGTATCATGTGTTTATTACGTTTCTGGCCTAATGAGGCTGCTCTTGGGCTTGTTTTTGCAGGTGTATAAGCGTGGAGCTGTGGGCAGATCAATAGATATTGGCCGTTATGCAGGTTATGATGAGTTGAAACATGATCTTGCTCGCATGTTCAGTATAGAAGGGCAGCTTGAAGATAGGCAGAGAATTGGGTGGAAACTAGTGTATGTTGACCATGAAAGTGATGTTCTACTTGTGGGAGACGACCCCTGGGAGTAAGTCAAAACATATTTATACTTAAATGTTATGTTCTGACCCATTAGTGAGATGAATAATATTATTCATCATGCAATGGTCTCATTGAGTAGCTATAAAAATATGGGAATTAATTTCTTTGGGTGAGTCTAAGACATGTCTGCATTCTTAAGTGAGTTGAGAAGAATAGTTCATAGTTGTGAAAATGGCAACCCCTTTGTCATTTTCTTCTCCTTAAAATGTTGCAGGAAATTGTGGCCACTTACAGGAAATGCATAATATGTGCACAAAGGAATATTTCCTAGGAAATATGCCATTTAGTTATTTGGTTCACAATTATCTCCTTACTTATGGGGAAGAAGTATTGGATGCAAGTCAGAGACTTCTGTGGGGGCTAAAATGAGAATTTTTCAGATAAGATGCTTAAAATTATGGAAACAATGTCCATATTAACTGGTGAATAAAAAAAACATGACCTCCCTCCATGAAAGGGAGAATTTCATCTTTCAGCTAAGCTTTTGAAATCAAATTATACACAGAGTTTGCTGGTTACGCGCCGGTGGCTCATTTTGTTAACTAAGATGCCAGGAGAAAAGTTACGGGTGAGACCCATCCATACAGTATGACTATTGATTCAACTTTACTAGCAGGATGGACATCATCACTTGTCCATCATCTCTTAGTAGCTTTTTTAGTAAAACGAGTTATCTTATTTCCATTATTTCCTTGTCTATTTTCCTACAATAACCCAGCAATGATGTTGTAATTTAAAAATGCAGGGAGTTTGTGAACTGTGTACGGTACATAAGGATCCTTTCTCCGCAAGAAGTGCAGCAGATGAGTTTGGACGGTGATCTCGGAAATGGACTGCTCCAAAACCAGGCCTGCAGCAGTTCAGACGACGGCAATGCATGGAGGGGCCATTGTGACCAGAACTCCAGCAACCCTTCAGCTGGATCATATGATCACTTGGAATGATGACTATAGATCAAGTTCTAAAGATTTTAATTTTTCGTTCTGGTTTTAGGTTGGAGCACGGACCTTTTGCTGGCGGTTGATTTTTAGCTGGAAGAAGATGCAGGGAGGTAAAATAGAGGGCAAAGGAAGAAAACCTCAGCTACGGAGGTTAATTTGGTCCTTTGTAAAGCTGATAAAATTAGTTACTGGTCTTTACTGTTGTGGATCCTCTTGCTCAACTAAATTCTGTCACGCTGAAGCAGAGAGCTTTTAGGTTTTCTATTGTGTATATCTGTAGTTTTCTCGCGCGACCGAAAAACAACTTGATTGTAAAACTGATTTGGTGTATTTGAAGATATTGAAATGCAGTGCATCTGATTATGTATTATCCTCCTCAAATCATTTCGTCCATCAATTCAAACTGATGCGCTTTATGGCATCTCAAGCGGCTGTGCTGATTATCTGGAGTATTGAGTAATTTAGAAGTTTTGGTTATCTTCCAGTTGGTTAGAAAAAGTTTCTGATAATAATGAACATGTAGGAGTTCTGATAAAGATCAAGAGAAACAAAATTTTCCAAGCTGGGCTTGTAGTAACTTGAGATTAG